CATTAGAATCTATTATATTTCTTATTGTACTTTATTTTTGTGTTATTATTATTTCATGTTTTGATACAATTTGTTCATCAAATCCTTTATTTCTTTTGCTATGCTTCAGCCAATTCTGCAAATTTTCATATGGTTTAAGTATCAATAAAATGAATGAAAATGGTAGTATTTCGTAAAAATATAGTCAGACACCCTAACATCACCTCTTGAACCTTCTTTAGAATTTTCTTTCCTTAGATTGTTTCAAGCCGTTCATTGTACATTTGTTTCCAACTGTTTATCTCCCGTTGGTGCTGTCGGTTATTTAGTCTTCATCCTATTGTCTTGTTGTTATTTTTAAGACGGATAATGGATTGACTGTACTATAGAAATGATCCTAAGAGTACGGTCTACTTCTTCTTTCTCCTTCTTCTTCTCTTGATTCTCTCTCTATTTCTTTATTAATTATGACTTATATTTAGGGTTTTTACTATATTTCTAATTTATTTTAATTATTCTTATTATTATTTTTTTTATTGCTTATATCCTTTTCATTATCTTATTGTGCCTCTCTATCTTTTCTTTTATGAGCCATACTTGCTTATAACATGATTGGTAGTTTTATTTCAATAGATGATTATCCATTTTGAAAATATAATGAATTTCACCTCAAATATTCTTGATTATTATTGTGTGTCAGTTCTATGAATTAATTTTCTAAATATTCAATTCTTACTCTTTATACTCTTATTATTTTCTCATTCTTTTTATTGTTTTTATTGTATGTTCATTTTTATGTTGTTTATTCACTCTTATGCTCTCATCTACTTTACATTATTAAAAGATGAATGAATAAATTGTTGGTAATATAAAAGTATATTATTTATTGTATTAAATTCATTTATTCTTCATGCATTTAAACTATTGAAAGAATATAAACTACAACATTTATTTGATTGACTTTTTATACCATTTATTATTGTTATTCATTTGTTAGATGTAATACATTGATAAAATAAAAATAATTGTGATTGATTTATACTACAACTAAATTAATAATACTAATAATAGTCATTGATGTATTACAATTAGCACTGTCATGATTATTATATTTGTTGTCATTATTATAACTAGAATCACTTTCAGTAGTTAATGAACAAATAGTCTCAATATGATTCTGATATATACACCACGTGTAATTATTTATTGTTTTAATAATTCAAAAAATTCAAAATTACAATTTTCATGTGTTTTAAACATGCATTAAATAGTAATATTATTTTCTATCACATATTTTGTTTTATCATCTCTGTTATTTATTTGAATTGTTTTAAAAATTAGTGATTCTGAAATACATTTAATACAACGTATTTATCTGTTTCAATGAATGTAATAATTTCATGTCTAAATGGAACATCAGAAATAACAACATCAGTAATACTTTGAATTACAGGTACAACATTATTATGTGTGTTTCTTAATCGATTCTTTGAAGAACATAATTTGTTACTTTCTTGTGTTTTAATGTCTTTCTTAAAAACATTCTCTTCAGTTTTAAGATAACTTCAAACAACACAGTTTTATATTTCATATTACTTATATTATTATAAATTGTTTCATTTGTTTCAATACATTTAAATGTTATGTCTGGTGCTTGATTACCAACTGTGATTTTATTTTCTATTATCATCTTAACTAGATCTTTGAAAATACTACACGAGTTTCTATACCATTTTCTTCATATTCAAATTCTGGAAGTATAGAACATTCAACAATAAATGTCTTTGATGATTTACACTCTCCATCATACTCTATTTTCTATTTGTCTTATTAAATGTATTTTCAATAAAGTGATAAAACAAATGTTACAATAACATCAATAGTATCATTGATTGTAATATCATCACATTTATTATATGTAACTTTATTATCACATTTATTCTATTTACAATTATTGATTGAATCATGTTATATTAATTCTACAATCTGATTCAATAAATATATTGATTATATCGCTTAGTCTTTTCCGATTGAAGAAGAAATATCTTTAGTATAGAATTTACGTTTAATATTAATTCAATTTCTAATTTCATATCATCAAATCTATCAATATTACTATTTTTAACTTTATTACATCCATCATTAGTATTGTCTTAATCCATCCAGAAAAATCTTCATTCAATATCTTCTGTAAAACTGATTGAACTAATAAATAATATACAAACTATTGGTTATAAAAGAAGTTATTCGCATCATTCGAATAAAAACATACTTGTCATTTTATCTTTTCTTAAACACTGTATTTGATGAGATGTATTAATTTTTCTACTCAAAATATTTATAAATAAATGCCATAACAAATAAGACTAAATATCAATGAAACACATCAAATATTCAATATATCCTTGATTTATTTCTCTTTTTTAGAAGTAGTATTGTGAATTATTTTTAATTATTTAATATTTATGACAAACTTATTTTTTTCTGTTAATTACATAGTTTTAATGATTGGATTATTTTAATTTCAATTTTATCATATTGTGTTATATGAAATAATTTATTTATAACGATTTATACATTGTGACTAATCAGACAATATAATCTATTTTTGGTGTTTTACAATACTTGTCTACATTTTAATCCAAATTATTAATCATTGTTTCATACAAATTGAATTTATTCTTTTCGATATTTTCTGATATTTAAATGCATACACTCAAAGTAACAAGACATCTTTTATATTGTTTATTGTTTGTTATTTCAACTTCAAACAACCATTATATTACACAAGAAATTATATATTTTTCATAAAAACGAAAGATGGAGAATATTGTTATTTGCCAATATAATAAATAAAATATGGTTATTAGTAATGTACTAAATAAATATTCTTCATTATATTTATGCTGAATAATTTTTAAACATTTTTATTTCTGATGACATTTTGAATAAAATATAAAACCATAAATGG